GGCGTTGGTGCCTCCGTGTGGCTGAGGGCTCGTGAGGACCCGTGGCGGCCAGCGGAGCTGAGCCAGCGCGGCGGCAGCGCTGGGAGGTGGCCCTTGCTCCCTCCGTGGGCCTTTACAGTTGCGCGATCGGGACCAGGTTGATTGGAAACAGGAGACACTTGTTCACAAGGCAGTTGCAGTGTTTACACAAAATGTTCCATTTCCCTGGTTTGATTCTGGCATCTAAAGATTATGTCAAAGTAAAGGCCTTTTTCTATCCTTTGTTGTCTGTTTTACTAGGGGTTTTGATGTTTATTGTCAGTACTGGATTCCCTTGTTCCCTCAATTACAGGCCATCTGAAAAACATACATAGGTAATGGTTTCACTTACCCTTTGGATTTGAAGTTGGGCCATGGCTAAGCATTTAGTAATTTTTTTGAAAAATTATGAGCTATCTTCCTATTTGTTGCCTTGGAAATAGTTACGGCTTTTTTATATTGACCATCTACAAATATTGCAAAAAAAATTAAATGTGAAAATTACATTATTTCAGGTATTTCTTAGAATGTGCCACTTCTTGTTATTCTTAGCACTCCAAATGCCTGTTAATATGGAAAAGTGCTGTTTCTCTACAGACCAAAAGAACTATTGTCTTTCTGTCTAGAATAGTGCAGTTTTAACTTACATGAAAAAAAGTTATAGGCTTGTATTTGCAAAATATTTTAAATGCAGAAGTAACGTTTGAGACACAGTGTGTCAGCCAGGAATCACTAGGGTAGTTCATTTTTTAAAATATGATTCCTATTTTTCTTTATGACTTGACATCAAGCAAGATTTGTTATGTAGTCTCTTATGTATTACCTGAAGATAAACACAAAGTTAACTGACAGCAAAGGAGGATTTATCAGAGCCAGAAAAAATAAGAAATTGTTATTCAGCAATATTTGTTTATAGCAGGGGCTTATATTTCAAATATAGTATTCTGCACACTTTAAAGAAGAAATTGTTGTCATACCTAAAATTAGTTAATGGTATGTGGCAATCCCAATGGATTATGGGGCATATCAAAAAAGTCAGATTTGTTTAATAGGTTTTACTTCTTTATATTTTCCAATTAGAGATGTAACCATTTTTTTGTTAGTGAATTTATTCAAAATTTTAGAGAATAAGCATCAAGTGCAAACTGAGGGTCAAGGCGCACTATATATAATATCTGTGCAATATAATTATAAGCATAATCAACATAAAGCTACATTTTGGTTATAAGTAAAATATACTATGAAGAACACGGTCAATATTCCATGCGTATCTTTTTAAAAAAATCATATTTAAATCACAAATGGAAATTACAGGTTACAAAACCGAGTAAAACCAGTAATTCTATCTTGCGGAATATACAGTTATTATTGTTGCCAGATTTAGAAGTACAGCATAGCATTTCATTTCCAATTTTGTTGTGAGAATGAAAATTCTTGAACTTTTACCTAAGAAAATAATTTCGAAAAGAAACTGATGAATTTGAGAAATTTAGCTTTAGGATAAAATCCAGTCCATCTGAGTTCTAACTGATTATTTTATTTGTCTTAATGGATTGCGTTTGTGAGAGGATATGACATTGAAGATCACTGCTTGCACAGGGGGAATGTTCCAGTGTTGGAATGCCTCCAGGAATCAGTGCTGTTTCACTGCTTCCTACTGGTACCATGCTGTTTTTTTCAATAGCTCCTAAAGAACCTAAAGCTTTAAAGTATCTGTGTCACCCTTCCTTCTAATAATACTGTCTCAACATGTATTATTGATAAATGCCAGATTTCTGGATTAAATGTCTCGGAATGTCACATGTATCTTTTTTGACTGAATGAAAATGACTGAAGATGAATTTTCGATGAAGCTCAGTTATTTATGAAAAAGTTGTGAGATTGAGTTGCATTGTATTTTCCAGACAGGAACCTATAATTCCCTGTTACTTTCTCTTTGTGATCTTAAGACAGTTAGCTTAAATCTGTATGCATTTTTTTTAAAGTGATCCACATTTACCTGTGATGAAGAACACCGTTTTAGGTATTCCAGCTGATTTTTAAGACTAGGACAACAGAAGCAAAGCAATAATGCAGTGTAAAAATACAGAACCTTCAAATAGATTTTCTTCTGTATTTATACTTAAATTACATTTCAGTCCACTCGTTCCCTTTGAGTCTGCAGTCAAAAGTGACACCTAATCCTTTAGATGCCTGTTCCATTCATCTTCATCTTACTGAATGTTAAATTAAAAGCTGTTAAATTAGATATGTAATGAGGAACTCGGACATAGAATTTTTTCTGTTGTTTTTGCCATAAGCAGAAATGAGCTTGGCCTTCATAAAATATATGGAAAAGATATGGAAAAGGTTCTCTTTATTCCACGCAGTTTACAGTTGAAGAAGCTGACATCATGATGGTTAAAATTCTCACTTCCTTCAGTGTTTCATTTACTTCTAGTTTTGTGAGAACTTAAGCACATGCTTACCATTACACACATGAGTTGTCTGATTGCAGGCCATGCATATGGAATGTGTCATGCATACATCTTTGAGAGTGTGGAGCATAATCCTTTAAAACTCAAGCTGATGTGAATCATTCTTATTTTTTATGGCAAAAGTTTACCATAACCAATTTTAAATTGTTAGTGTTAATTTATTGTGTTTTTAAAAATTCACAAAAAATTACTAATTTCTCCCCCCTTGGATAGGTTATACATAGGAATAAAAAACAACAAATAATCTTGATAGGTATCTTGATAGGTAACGTATACTTAATATTATAATAGCATTTATTGTTTTTAATATTAGATTTTGAAATGCTGAAGTTGATGAGCTGAACCTCCCAGGATTTTATAGCTTTCTAATTCTAACTGCAATAAAGCTGCTGAGGTTAATGAGAGAATATTTTTTTAAAAAACTTACATCTACTGTACTGTAAAATTTTGTATTAAAAAAGAATAAAATCTTCCTAGATAAATGTATAAAATTTCTCTATCTTCTTTGGTCTTAATTCTTTCCTCCTAGGTACGTAATGCGTGCTGTAAAATATCAACATTTAAGACTTCTCTTTAAAAAGGAAAAAAAACCTCTGCTTTCTGAATACTGGTGTTACAGATAACTGCTGAAAACTATTAAGAATTAATTTTTTTTTTGTTGGTGAGAGCTAAGCCAATGATCTCTTCGGCATATAGGAATTTATACACTCTATAGAATAAAGTGTATTCTGATCAGCGCTCTTTTGAGAGCTACACTAGGCTCTGCACACAAGTTCATCTCTGCTCAAAGTTTACTCTGCAGTTCTGTTTATTTGCTTTACTGTTTAAAACCTGTTGGAAAGGATGCTAACACCTTTTCTAGGAGGCATATTGCAATACTTGTGACTGTAGTGTATGGCTAGTGTATATATTCTGAAGATGGGTGTCTTGGATGTTTTTGGACTCCTATGCAAGTTTAATGGTATACTCTGTTTATATTTTTTTAGCATAATATCTAGGATTTTATGAATATCCAGGGTGTGGAATTGATACTCAAAAGGGCAGCTGGGCTTTCCAGAGAAAAAGTAAATAGATAACATATTTCAGTTGTTTTGAAATACAGGGTTACAAGTATATCTAAGAAGGATTGCCAGTGGTGTTAAATAACAGAAAATCTTTGTAACCATGTTATCTTTTATGGTATAACTATCTTTGGAAAAAAGAACATTAGCATCAGCAAACTAAAAGAATTTCTCTAGAAGGTCAATTAGTTTTTTTCCAATTATTTGCTTGGAGTACAAGCATTAAGGACAATTGGGCATTCTCTTGTAGTTTTTTTACCAATAGGAATGGCTGTGTGTATATACCATATTGACCATGGGCATATCACTCCTTTCTGTGTGGACACCTGGCATCTGACTGCTCCATGCTTTATCCTCTTAGGAAAAGAACCAAGTTAAGACTGGGAGGTCTTATGAACAGCAGAATTAATAAGGTGTGGGTCCTCATTAGTGGACTTTGTGACGTACCATAGGAATGCTTTTAGCCTCAGATCTCCCAGGTGGTCCCTTAGTTTATCCACCTTACTGACGACAATTTCTGTATGTGCCCAACCTCCTTTTGTTTGACTGCTGCTGCTTTGACTGCTTTGTGGCTGTGTGTAGGCTGCCCATTTGGTGCCACTTAACTATAAAGTGTGCAGAATGCCTTGTCGCTCAACTGGAGATGTAACCGATAGGTTTAAGAGGTATGTGTTTCTCCCCAAGCATGTGTTATGTGGGGTTGTTGTCAACATTACTAACTTTGTAATCTTAATCACATTTCATTGAACTGGCTAGTGGACTGCTTATTTGATATGACTTTCAAGCAGACAAACAGTGAAAATGTATTAACGGTTTTTGTGTTTGTGTGTGTTTTTTGGGGTTTTTTTTGTTTGTTTTTTTTTTTTTTAAGAAAAACAGGCTAATACTTAAAGGCTATGTATGTACTTAAAGGCTCAACTCTAAATTTGTGAGAAATAAATTAGATACCCCCGGACAAAGTAGAATAAGAATGAAGGGGATAATTGCACAGGAAGAATGGCATACCGTCAGCCAGTGGCCGAATAGAACCCACTTGTGCGAGCCTAGACAGCAACCCTATTCTTTCTTGGGTTGGAGGGGTCTTCGGTAAGAAGACCATGTAGCAGCTAGCTGAATTATTCCAGCAGTCTGCAGTCTGTCCCTGCCATTCTCTTTTTCAGGATGCTGTGAGTCTTCCCATTCATATGACCATTTGTGCATATACCAAAAGACGAAAAAGCAAGCATTTGTCAGCATAAGGCATATGTAAACATTCAGTATGTGAACAGGCATGAGCTTTGTCAAGTGATGGGGTACCTGAATTTGGTCACATCAGAGAGCACGTTGGTCCTACAGCAGGCAGTACCCAGTCATATATTCCAGCGCTCCTGATGTGGTGTGTCACGTGAGTGGAGATGTTGGAAGACAAGCTACGTGAAAAGTGTCCAGCATGTCACACGATGGAAAAGGGCTTGAGCATGTAGCTTTTGTGCCTTGATAAGCAGCTGTATGGCACCCTCCAGCCCAAACACTGAGCATCATTACTATGTGGTATAACAATTACAGCCATAAGATAAGAGACATCCCAAGCCTAATGAATCATCTACTGGAATTTGGGTCTCAGTATTCCAAATAGAGATACACTTTGTTATTGAAATCCTGTGGAATAAGTGGAGCATATTGGAGGAGGCTCATTGCCCAGTTTTGTTGAACTCTAGACCTAGGCGACATATGTCTGTACCACCTATGATTTTTATAGTTTTGTCAGTAATTTAATCAAATATTTATGAATGTAATTATAGCTATTGACTAATTCATATGGCTTTGTAAAAGCATGAAGTAGTTATAAATGCTAGCTGGCCTTGTTTTAATATGTTAATTTTTAGCTGAATTGTTAAGGTGTTTTGGTTGGCTCTGAACTGATCAACAGATCCAGCACACTGGAAGATTAGTATCAAAATTATCAGGTAAGGCAGCTACAAGGGAAATAAGAATTTTTTTAATTGAATGTAGGGGAGAGTGAATTAGACTAAGCCATAGCACAATTAACATTTTCCTTAATGATGTACAAAAACAGTAAGGGTATACTATTGAATATGCTATTTTTAATTCGAAATAAAGAGACAAGTACTTTTACAGACTGGAATTAGGATTGCATACACAAAGCACTGGATGACCTGGGAACTGGAACAGTAAATATGGGAAATATAATATTAGGCACTTAGGCTTGGATTCATCACATCCAATTTAGGCTGCTAGTTGTAGTAAAAACAGGAAGAACCTTTTTGTGCTATGCACGTTCACTTATCAATTGAGAGATTCCTATGAAAGGTCTTTGTTACTGGCTATGATTATTTTTCCTACAAGAAGGTGTGTTTTTCCTAGCAGAAGCTTACAGGAGATGAGTTGGTTGATGCTGGGTGGGAGGAATCTTAGCTTTTAAAAATAATAGCAAATCAACTTTTGCGGTAAGTCAGAGTTCTAGCTGGAAATAACTGAAAATAGGACAGAAACGTAGCAGTTGATCACAGGATGACTGAGGGGCAAATTTTAGAATCAGTTTCATGCAAATATTGTACAAAGTAATTTCAGTGAAGGTAAAAAGTAGCTACCCTGCTTTGTGAGACGCTGATGAGATCTTAACCATAATACTATACTAAATCAGGTATCAGTGGAAGAAAGATGAGCTGAAACCAGAATGGCAAAGAGGAAACTGAGAAGCAGAGAAACAAGCAGTTTTATAAACAGAGCAACAGAGCTTAAGAAGGTTGACTGTTGTTTAATTCATTGTGATAAAAGCTGAAAGAGGATATGATCACTGTTAGTAATCAAGAGTGAATAAACACAAAGGAAAATTAAGTCAAAGGACAGTTTTAACAGAAGAGTAAATACATATAGGGATTAATAAATTTTATGTGTAACTAGAAGAAGGCTTGCGGTCTTGGCACCAATGTATTCGGATAGTATTTCAGTAGAAATAGTGGTGGTAAAAAACCTAACTTGTTTAGACCTAGTTTGCTTTTATGAAAGTGATTATATGATTACTTTGCCTAAAATAGCAGATGGACTTGATGACATGAGATGTTTCTGCATTCCTGATTACTGATTTCAGTAATACATATCCTTGTATGTTATCGACAGAAAGTACGTCAGAGCTTGCTGTAGCAATTACATGTAATAGCAGGAACACATCTAGTGTCTATTTTCAATTGAAGAATTTTATGAAAAGGTTTACATTTCCTTTAGAAGAAGTTTTACTTTACATGCTGCTAAATAAACCTTGAAATTCACCTCCAAATGTGAAAAACTATAATTTCATTGAAACAACTCTGCTTTTGAGGAGTCAGCCTTTTGAGGGACAGACTTTTAAGTTCAGGGGAAAAAAAAGGCATTCAGGGGACTCTGGCATTAAAAAGGTTCTATGATTTATGGAAAATGGGGCTTATAAGGCCATACATTATCAGAATAAATGGTGGTCTTGTTCTTCTGTATTTTCCTAGTTTGTCTGGCCATGGAAAGGAGAAGATGCCTGCTCCAAGGGTGCCAGTGCTGGGAGCAAGATCAATGGATCTCTTCTATTCCAGGAGACATGGAGGTCTATTTGTGGCTGGAGCTACCTGACTAGATAAAAATATAGATCAGTCTGCTATGAAAGTACCTCCCATGAAGAAGACTGGCTGATGGCTTAGCTTGCTTTGAATATACCACCTTACCAGATAAGCCTTTTCACCAAATTGAAAAACAAAATCAATTATTTTTGTTTCCAGGTTTGGCTTGGAATTTTTTTATCCCTCTTTTGTCAATTCAGGTGGGCCGTTACTAATTGTAATTGGAATTGTGGAAGCCTCGCACATAATCCCGCAATAGAAAAATCTTACCATGTTTCCTTAAACTCTAAAATAGACAAGTTTGAGTCAAACTTGCAGTAAGGCCAGTTTTTACATCTGTAGCTGTATAAACAGATCTTAAAACAGGTTTAAATAAAATATATTTAAAGCTTCTTTATGCTGTCAAAGTGAAATAAAATATTTATAATTCAAAAAATAGTCAAGCCCAGCTTACCTTACAAACCATGCACTTCAGTATAGGGATTTCCACCAGAAAAAACTTGTCTACAGAAAGGGAGACTTCACTGTCTTAAATTTAAATCAGTTCTGAAACCAATTAATTTAAGCCATTGTCAACAAAGCTCACAGTGCGCAGCATAAGCTGTAAGCAAAGATACGGCTTCACCTGGAAAATCAGAGGTGCAAGGTAAAATCGGTATCAATTGACAAAGCATTCAAAGTCATACTATAACTAGACTGTCTTTAAATGACCCCACTTGGCAAAACTCTGATTAGGCCAGGCTATTGGTGTTTTTTTATCTTCAATATTTTTAGTCTGGACTACAGAATGGGAATACGGTTAGCAAAAAGTCTAGACCAGTTCATAAAATTTGTATTTCTCTTGGACTATAAGCTTTAGAAAGACTGGTCTGCTTTAGGTTTATCGGTTTGTAATATGCAGATAAGCCATTTGAAATTTTAAAATGTGTCATAAAATTCTTGTTTTCCATCTGCATTTTATGTTAAATTGGAATAGTTTTGTTTTTCTAGGGGTGTTAGCCTAGGATTAGTCTTCCTTTTGAATGTCCATGAAAATCTGTAGCACGCTCCTTGGTATGCTTCCCACTGACTCTATTAAAAAAAAAAAAAAAAACTCCTACAGGTGGGTACTATTTGTAGAACTACTTTGATAGAGATCACTTATTTTACTTTTCAAAAGTATGTGGTTTGTGTATATACTTTGCAAAGTAGAAGTATTAAAATCAAATTAAATTCAGTGTAAAAGTCACTGAATAAAACAAGTTTAGAATTGTGCCTAGGATTTACAAACCAAACTGAGTGCTAGGAATTTGTTTGTTTTATGGCCTATTGATTTTTGTTTTAATGTAGTAAGACTGTAAAATCAATTATTTATTTTTCCATTTCAGTTTCAGGAACAGATTGAAGAAAACATGGCCAATCAACGGGATTACATTAGCAGACCTATCTGCAATGGGATTTCTGTTTCTGAGAATAAAATCAATTCCTTAGTGGCTGAAGGTCATGGACAACAAATTCTAAAAGTACTACAGAAGTTCAGAGAACAGAATATATTTTTTGACTTTAAAATTCTTGTGAAAGATGAAATAATTCCTTGTCATCGTTGTGTACTGGCAGCATGCAGTGATTTTTTCAGGTAAACCTACTTTTTGGCATGAGTTTGCAGGAAATGGGTTGTAAGCCCTCTGGGAGGGAGGGAGGGAAGGAATATAATTACAAAATTTATAAAATAAATTGCAACCATTTATGTATGTCCTCAGAATTTTGAGCGAAGTGGTCAGACATCATATTAGGGATGGTAAAAAAAACAAACAAACAAACATGCAATGTTAGATGCCTAATCAAATCCCAGATATACCTGCTCATAGTTCTCAAGTGACGTGAGGACCCTATAAATTTGAAATTCAAACAGCAGTCTATTACTCTGAAATACAAATGTAAAATCATAACTATGCGATTCTACTCTTAGGTAGAATTGACACAAACTGTGTATCTTCAAGACTTTATCTGTTGCCTGTATCCGTACTTGAGGGCCTGCAAGAATGTTTTTTGACTTTATATTGGGTGGGCTGTGTACTTTGACAGATTTATATTATGAAATATTAACAGGATGATTAGGAATACGTCTTGCACCGTTATGTTATTCTGAACCACTGTAGATAAATTACATATGTTTTTGGAGGAAGTCACTTTTTTTCATCTGAGATGAGCGATCAGTATAGTGTAGTTTGTCTTAAGAAATGGATCTGTGAGCTTCCCTTCAAGTACTTGAACCTATTCATTTTTAAGGGACAGACGGATCTTCGCATACAGGATTTTGCCATTTTGTATTAATTTATGAAGAATCTTGCTAACTGTTTCTTTAGTAAGGCTCAGACTTGCAAATCCATACTGAAAGTCTGTTTCCAAATATACTCTTTACTGAAACACAAAGGTAAGATGCTCTAGCAATGAAAAATGGGGCTTCTGGATAGGAGTAAATGAAATTGATTCAGTTGCTGATGCATAGCTGTAAGGTGCTATTCTCAGATGTGTATCCTGCAAGATATCTGCAAGAGTTTGTTATATATGACACAGGATATATGCTAGGCACATGTCCTTTTGGAGAGGCTGCTGTAGGCCAGATAAGATGCTGTCTGCTATGTAAAACAGCATGACATACCTGTTTGGTCAACTGTATCGAGCCCAGTATTCTGATTCTCTTTTGGTCTTTGAAAATGTAAGTGATTGTCTTTGTACCTGGCATGAACAGAAATCCTGAGATTTCCAGTGAGTACATGTTATGATGCTTGAAGCTTGGTGTGTCTCCTCGCTTTTTGCTTTGACTGAAAAGTTCTTACTGCAACTTTCTTCATAAAAAAAGTGCCTTAGAACATATTAAAAAAAGTGACTCAGAACATTAATTGGAGCAACTGTTTTAGGAAGATTACTTCTATTACCCTTTGTGCTTTGTTTTTCTGCAGCAGTTTTTAGGACAGCTGCACATACAATCTGTAGCATTCAAGCTGCTGGGAAGCAAATATAGATGGCTGTTACCTCCTTAATAAAGGAGAATACTGGGAGCTGAAAGAATTTGGTCCTTTCTCATAACCACTATAAAATCTTCTGTCTGACTTACCCTGTTTTTTTTTTTGTCATAGTGATTTTGAATTCTCTCTTTTTAAGGACCACTGGCAAAAGGAGAAATGCAAATGAGATGAACTATTTCTTCATTGTAGCAACAGATTTGGTTTTGCGCTTACATGCAGAACTACTTGAATTTCAAGCATTTGCTCTCTGACACCATAAAGCACCTTTCAGTAGAAGACACTGTGGTAGAAAGGAATATTAGTATGAAATAGGTTCCTGTGGTATATTTTAGAACTGAAGTTAAGCACATACATAGTAACATATGTGGCATTTTCACCACCTCTCCAGGTTAAGTTTGCCAGAATAGACCTCTCTCTGCACCAAACAGTTGACAATAACAGCCATCAGATTCCTAAGTTGTCCTGGAATGCAAGGCCTATTTATTATCTTCAGGGAAGAAAAAACACCCAGGTCAACTAGATAAATTGTAAAACAAAAAACACTTCTTTTCTTTTTTGGTCTTCAGCAACATTTTGCTCTGTACTTGTTACCTTTCAGAATCAAAGCCCTTTCTTAGCTTGCTGTCCTCCTACTAATATTGTTTTGTTGCTATTGCATGTAAATGAAGCTTCAATGCATTTCCTAAGCACCCAGCATCCTTCCCATTTTATTCTATCATGTAGAGATTTGTATTAAAGAGAAAAATAAAAAATATTTTTTTTTCCTGAGGATCAAGTAGCTTAATATGCAAAGAGGTCTTTGGGGTGTAAGGTTCTTACCATCATTTTACCTGCTTGTGCAAGAAGTCAGTCGCTTTTCCTGATGCTTACTTCTCAAAGAGCATGCTATACACAGTCAACTTTTTCCTTGACTTCATAAAAGTATGGGATTTTAAAAATCACGTACTATATCATAGTTCTGTTATACAATTAGCACCTGTATAATACTTCTTAATAGGAATTACCTATGATATATTAATAATTCAGATTCTATATTTGGTATTTGGAATAATTTGCCTACATCTTTCTCCACTATCATCTTTTGTCAAATACAGGAGCTGTTGCTATCACAGTGTAACATTTAGGCTTTGCAGGTTAGGGAAAGTGACATAGCAGCACTATTCTGTTGCCAGCACTTACTGACTTGCAAATCCTTAATTATTTTATGGTCACCGTGCTAGATTGTGTACAATAGTTAAATACTACTTAGTAATAAAGCAGCCAAAGTTGCAATAAAATTTCCACAAATCTATTGGTTAATGTCGTTTGTTTCACAATTTCAACCATCATCTGTGTATTAATTCACAATTTACTTTCTGTACACGATATCACACGTTATATCAGCCAATCCTATGTCAAAACCTAATTTTTTCTAACACTTGCCTGTACACATCTCTGTCAATGCTAAACCAATAATTGTTTCCTCTTTTTTTTTTCTTCTTCCTCACCTTTCACCTCCCTTCCCCACTTTTGTATTTGGGGTGTGCACCCATCACGCATCCTGCCAGTTGTTCGAGCCTCTAATTTGGAAGGCCTCTTTTTAACTTAACTTTTTGTATTCATCCACAATGCATGACCTACATCATGAGTTATTTTTTCTACTTTTTTTTTTGAAACAGCCTCTTTCTCAAACTGTAGAAACTCATGCTGCCCCTAACAATTTCACATTTTCTTTCATCTTGAAAGCTCTAGACTTCATCTCCCTCCCTGAAAAAACATAGAAAACACGGTTGCCAATATAATTTCTATGAGCTATCACTTTGAAATGTTATCACCATTTCTTTTTTCATCTGCTATGTCTAACAAATGTATTGTTCTTAACTTTGAGAATCTTCACGTTTTAACCCTTTAAAGCCTGTCCACCACAGTGTCTTCTTACACCCCCCTGATTTTCTCTTCCCTCTGACATCAGTGTTTTTTCCTCGTTTGCTAGATAAACTACTTATGTTCTTTAATTTGTGTGTTTATCTTCTATATTTTATTCACAGAGCCATGTTTGAAGTTAATATGAAAGAACGGGATGATGGCAATGTTACTATTAGTAATCTATCACCCAAGGCAGTGAAAGCTTTTCTTGATTACGCTTATACAGGAAAAACAGAGATAACAAATGATAACGTGGAAATGCTCTTCCAGCTGTCATCGTTTCTTCAAGTTTCACTCCTTTCCAAAGCTTGCAGTGACTTTCTAATAAAAAGTATTGATCTTGTGAATTGTTTACAGTTGCTTTCTCTATCAGAAAGTTATGGTTCCATCCGCTTATTTGATCATGCACTAGATTTTGCACAGCACCACTTTTCCTTGCTACTCAGATCAAGTGATTTTTTGGAGATGAATTTTGAGATATTACAAAAATGTCTTGAGGCTGATGAACTAAATGTCCCTGAGGAAGAATCGGTGTTGAAAGCTGTGCTTCAATGGACCAAACATAACTTAGAAACACGACAGAAATACCTGGCTCATTTGATTAAAAAAGTGAGACTTCATCAGTTACCTGAAAAGACTTTGCAAGACTTTCTGCACTCTGAAGAACATTTACTCAATAGTGCTAATTGCTCAGTGATAATCAGTGATGCAGTTAAAAGCGTACAGAACTTCAGTGGACTGTTTCCAGATGCACGTCCTTCAACAACAGAAAAATATATATTTGTTCATAAAACTGATGAGGATGGAGAAAACAGACATACGTTTTGCTACAACATCAAAACAGATAAATGGAAAGAACTACCACATACACATATGATTGATCTTCCAGGGTCAAGTTTATCTAGTTATGGAGAAAAAATATTTATAACTGGAGGCTGCAAAGGGAATTGTTATAGGACAGTCAGGCTTCATATTGCTGAACCATTCCACGATGCCACTGACCAAACCTGGTGCTACTGTCCAGTCAACAATGAATTCTCCATAGCGTCAGCTATGAAAACACCAAGGACAATGCACACATCTGTTGTAACCTTAAATCAGTTGTTTGTAATAGGTGGAAAGACCAGAGGAGCTCAAGAAACCCGAAGTCTTTTGGATGTAGAATCTTATAATCCTCTTTCCAAAGACTGGAGATCTGTAAGCCAATTACCAAGAGGTATTTACTATCCAGAAGCAAGCGCATGTCAGAATATAATTTATGTCCTTGGCTCAGAAGTAGAGATTACTGATGCCTTTAATCCATCTCTTGATTGTTTCTTTAAGTATAATGCTATGACTGATCAGTGGTCTGAGCTTGTAGCAGAATTTGGGCAATTTTTCCACGCAACTTTAATCAAAGCTGTTCCAGTGAACTGCACATTGTATATATGCGATCTTTCCACCTACAAGGTATACAGTTTTTGCCCGGAAACCTGTGTTTGGAAAGGGGAAGGATCTTTTGAATGTGCTGGCTTTAATGCAGGGGCAGTTGGCACAGAAGATAAAATTTATATATTAGGTGGTGATTATGCTCCAGAAGAAATTACAGATGAAGTTCAAGTCTACCACAGTAGTAGGTCTGAGTGGGAAGAAGTCTCACCAATGCCAAGAGCCTTAACGGAGTTTTACTGTCAGGTCATTCAGTTTAATAAATACAGGGACCCCTGGTCATCTGTAATGACAATTTGCTCTGGAGAGTTTTGAGACTCCCGAGTCAAAAGACTCTATTTAAGTGCACAAGATTTAGAATAAACTTTTAGCTATTAATTTGCAGAAAAATATACATTGTTTTATTTTAAGTCTTCAGTTTAAATTATATGCTATAGAACTGTCTTTGAAAGGGTCCATATAATTGTCATTCATGCTAGTCATTAGATATACTAGTTTTATATGAAAGTCTTTTCTGCAATTATCTGAATAATTGGCAAAATGCTATTACTTTCAGAAAAGCAGAGTCATAAGGAATTCATTTTGTAATATGTGCCCTGTTATTTCTGTAATCTTCATAGGTGTCCCACTAGACAAATCGCTGAGCAAGAATACTGACTGTGATACTGTTTTTCCTATGTAACTGAAGTTTGAAGGAAAACTTCTGAATTAGTGTTGTTTCCTCTAGGTTTTTTATATCATAAACCTATTAGAGGAATTCAACGACAGTTTTATCTTATTAGAACAACCTCAGCAGGGCCAAAAGCCAAAGAGACCTTGACAGCATTAAATCTAGGTTTTTAACTTGAAGAGACTGATAATTGCTATACCTTATTTCAGCTTTTCAGTTTGACCAGTTTTTCTCCATTCTTGTGCCTTAGTAGTAGTTTTCATCCCACAGCTGTGGCAAGACAACCTCTGATAACATTTTTGCAGGGTGGTCAGGATTTCTACACAGTGGATGATTCATACGGTAACTTCACTGTACAGATGGTCACCTCTGTCGTGCTGTTAACTGCGCAGCTAAGCTGAAAGAAGAAAACATTTCAGGCTGTTTTCTAGCAGAAGTCTTCCATCTCTTAAGTCTGCAGTGTTATCTACTAAAGGCACTAGGCTGCTGATAGCAGTAAGCTGTAATACCAGTTTTAGTTGTTGCTTCAGTTAACTACGGGAAAAGTTTGCATCTTGTCACATATAAAATACTAAGTTACAAAAATAAATCCCTGTATTTGAAGTCAAAGTAAATAGGATTTTGGAAGTGAAATAATTCCTTTAATGTACATAGTGGCGTAAATGAATTGAAACACTCATCTTGTACTTCATGGTAATTTTAAGTGTAAAAATACTACATGCTAAACACTACACAATATATTTCATGAGAAAACTTTCAATAATATTCAATTATAATGTTTAAATTGTCACGGACTTTTAGTATTAATATTCCTCTAGGCATATGCCATAAAGTAAACTTGATCTCATGCATACAAAGTGGGACCTGTGTCTGATGGAATGAGACTGGAATTAACTAGGTTTCATAAACTCATTTTCTAATCTTCCACAACCTGAGAATTTTCTTTCTTTCCAGCTATTTGAATAAAATTTTGGGAGCCCTTATGTTCAATATATAATATCTTTAAAACAGTAAAGTCGTCTTATGCCAGACAGAATGATACTAAATATCCGAGCATGTCATTTCCAAGTAGTTTAAAAAATGAACAAACTTTAGTGAGGTGTTTAAAACATCTTTCACATAGCGTGAGACAACCGTGGTAATCTCATCATCACATCACCACTGCATGTACTTTTGCAAAAGTCAAGCTCAGTACTGAAACTTAAAGCTTAGTATCTCGTAGCGACGTATTTCTGTTTCAAACAGTAAGCAATGGAAAGCTCCGATCCTGTGATTGATTTTATAATATGCTATCAGGTATCTTTCTGAATTTAAACACACTATAAAGCTTTTCATAAAGATGTATGTGAAAATTATGCACATTTGAGGAACATGTTAATATGAGTGGAACCCCCCCACACTCCTAGTAGTTTGTATTAAGATGTGTTAGTTCTGTAGAAGTAAACAGCTTGCTGTTGTAGGATTCCAGGGAACCTCTACATTTATTTTGCTATTTTCATAGTGAATTTTCAAATCATATTATAACTATATTTAGACAGGTGACCTTCACAATCATCACACTGAAATGCAAGCGTTTTTATACCAGAACACAACAGTTTCTGTTCGCGCAAAGCAAATGTATTGAATAGTTTAGGAGAGAGAGAGAATACTATTCCCTCCCACTGGAACAGCAGGAAAAAAGCAAGTAGTTATACAATAGAACAGTAGTTTTAGCTTTAATAAGGCTATTCAAAATAACATTGTTGCTCTTGCTCTTAAATATTTAACAGAGATTTCTTTGACCACTAATTACTGCAACCTGTCACTTTTCATCAGAAATAGAGGGCCTGATTCTCCTTTGCTTGTGCTTTTTTGTTCTTTTTATACCTGAGTAATGTTAAGTATGCAGTTCATGTAAAATACTAAAAGATAAGCAAGGTAACATATGTTGCCCACAGTATATGGGTAAAAGTAACTATGCAAATTGTAAGAGACTACGTAATCGCAAGATTACTTTTAGTTGCCACTGTCATGACCAAATTGCTGGGTTACGTAAACAGCACTAAGTCAGTGATTCAGGTGATGCTCTTTCCTCTAAGTTTTTCCTTACATTAAATTTTACTGGGCAGTCTTCCATCCAGCTACTTGCTATATGTATAAGTCTCTGGCTTATGACATCAGATAGAGCAATGACCAATGTGGTAAGTTACTCATCACTATTAATATATATAGTGAAAATGGAATGAAGCTTCATTTAGAAAAAAAGATGTTCTCCTTTAATACTCTAAAGTTGCGCTACATTTGCACAGGAACTAGTCACAGTTCCCAGTCTGACAAATCATTCATGGATTTCAAATGGAGTTTAGCTCTTTTATTCAGTGATCCAGAAATAATGTAGTAGTGTCAGTTTATACTATTGCTTAAAGGAAAGTTACTGTGAAATAGTATGAATTTCTTCAGTTATATAGGTAAGCCTGCATTATGACTCTCATGCAAGAAAAAAGGTCATCTGCCACGATTCCACACACAGGGTTAAATCTGATAGCAGAACTAAGTGCAGAAGAAGCTATGTTAGAAAAACCAAGCTTCAGCTTCAGCTAAAACCAAGGCTTCATAACATAATTAAGGTCATGTGTTCCAAATCCTGTGATTAATCCTTAATGATATAAGAAATCTCAGTGAAGTCAACTAGACTACTCAAAAGGGATTACTTGTGTGAGTTACTGCAGTAGGTCTGGATCAAATACACTTTTTAGTCTACTTTACACAAAAGTTAGGCAATTAAATATAACAAAATTAGTGCAAATCAAGTTTTTCCTACATCTTTTCTGATCTTTCAAAGCTCACAGTACTTAATGCAAAAGTGCATTTCTCTAAAAATAGTCCATAGCGACTAAGCTTAACTATTACCTATGTTTTCACTGAAATAGTAAGATGTTTAAAACATATGAATTGCATGTAAAGGCATATGCTAATATTTGCACTTAAATGATGTAACCAAAACATTTCTAATAGTCTATTATATGTCAAAAAAAAAATACAGCATGACCAGTATAATATACATGAAGATAATATATCATATGTGGGGTTTTAATATCCAGTAATTACTTTATTGGATAGTCTTGATTTTTAAAGAATGCTATCAAAACATTATGACATTTTTGGTAATGTTATCATACTGTTTTAGTTGATATAATAAATATCAATAATTCTGATATACTGGATTAAGTTTGCACAGACCTAATGATTATTATTTATGTACGAATGAATTAATTTTCTATATTCTAAATACATCAGTACTAAGTCAGTTTACTGCAGTAACAAATTCATTATATTTACAAAATGAAGCACCTTTACTGGGTCAAATTTATTGCTGGTATTACTCCACGAAGAAAATTGTATTACCTCTTCTGACTAGTAGGTATCACGTAAGGAGCCTGAAATAGGGTATAGGGTGTGCTATCTGCATTTTGATATGTTGACTCCAATTTTAGATGGTTCTATTTGTATGTGACCAACAGGAGGCAGCATAAGATCTATTTTAATTAAAGCAGAGTTAAACCAGGAATATATTTGACAATACTTGTATCTGACTATTATGTTCAATTTACACCTTTTTGCCCTCTAACATCCAATAAAGAATACAGATTGGTAACATTTTGCTGCTGCCTGGGCTCTGCTGATACATGGAAAATATGATACTGTATGTTTGCTGAGATGTTTGTTCCTTCATGAAATAAAAGCACTGAGCAACTGAATCCTTCTCAGGTCTGATTTTGTTCACAGTGAATTTCAAAATACAGAGACTTTAAAACATTTTTAATTAGGTTAGCTGCTTACTAAGTATTTATTTTTAGCTGGAGAACATTTTGTATGTTATATTATGACCAAGAATGGAATTAGCAGACATAAAAAATGCTGTGAGATTTTCTAATTTATCCTTGGACTTTGTATTTGTATATCCTTTGCATATCAATTTGCTCCTACCAAGCTAAATGACTTTGAATTGATTTAGTCTGCTGAAAGGTTGCAAGTTTATCATTTTAAAGGACTCACTTAAATTGGTATTTTTTTTTTTTATTATTGGATGTGTCTAGATGAGATTGGTGTGCAGTATTTTTAACAATTTAACTACCACAAATAATTACATATTTATTTTCACTGAAATGGGCTTCTATACTACTTAGAAGTTGCTTTATATAAAAGCTGATACAAGCCACTTACTCTAAAATTCATGTGCAAAGAATGCAAAAACGGCATTAATACAAAGTGTGGGAGCCCTGTGATTCAGTGACCTTCAGATCTCTCTGTATAGAAGAGTTAAAGCAGAAAAATTAACCCTCCAATTATGCAAATATGCAAAGCCTTTGCCCCAAAACCAGTAAAAGCCATTTGGAGGCACGTATAAAGCACTCCAGTAATGCAGAGGGAACGTAAGACTGAAAAGAAATGCAAATGCTCTTGGCAGAGTTGCCACATGTGGGACACGGGCCTGTTTGGCACATCATAGGCAAGCTTCAGGTGCTGAATTATTCCAGGGTGCTCCAGTTCAATGGCCCAGTTCCTAATGAAAAGCCAAACAGTGACTTAAGGTCAGTCTGCCTAAGGTCTAGAGAAGAAAGCACTACTTCTGCTCCCAGCAGCATCTCCTCCTACCCCCCAAGTCCCACTGCTGCGCTCCTCCTCTGACAAGATTTGTGAAGAGCCTTTGCAAGGATGACTGTTTCCACCCGAAGACCTCTTGCAGAACTTCCATTTTCCTAACATCACCAATCACCAGACTAGCTCTAACCAGGTGTATCAGTTCCAAGTGCTTAGCATCAGATCATCTGCCACTGTAAGCAGATGTACACACATTGGTTTATCCAGGGATTCTTGACTAGTAAGGTATTATAATACAAACGTGAGCTAAGTGACTAATCTTACTGATTTACCTGAAAAAAGGGAGATAATCACCATATACATATGTTTGCAGAATCAAGACCTATGACTGTATCTTAGGTACATACAGTACCTAATTTGTGTTCCATGCCTAAATTTAAGCAGATAAATAGTCGCATTCACTTCAAGACAACTATTAACAAACTAAAATACTTAACTACTTAAAAGCTTAACTAGTATTCTGAATCACAAGTAAGAAGAAATAAATTTCTTGTTAAAATAAATCCACAAAACAATATGTAACGTAGGTTAGCATCTGCTTATTCAGAAGATTACTTCTTTGCACATTCCAGAACTATGTAAGATTTGCAGATGCTTGTCCAATTTAAGAGGGCATAATCTAGGTAACATCTAGAAAATGTTACCAGGTACCATTTATTACACCCAAAATATGTAATCTCAGTTTAAAATCTTAATATAAATTGCTACTTACAGAATGAAGCATTCTAGAAGAAATCAAGTATATTTTTTTCTTATTAAGCACTCCTTTACAAACAATATTATATCCTAAAAAACTGCTTAACTTCTACACAATGGTTTTATGACCTTGTGAATGATTTGGATATTTATTATTAGAGGGAACATTCATATAATTTTTGCATTGTGAAAGACCTAAGTCATCTTCCCTGACAAGCACACGCTGATCTTCCTCTTTGAACCCCTTTGCAATCAAATGTAAGGTTATGGTTGGACAGTATAAAATTCAGACTATTTTCTCCTGTCTGTAATTAGCAATTATCATTACTACCTTTAAGCGCAAACATGAATTCCCACAATTGCCAGCAACATATGAAACCAGCAGATTCTGGTATTAAAATACTATTTTCTCCTGCAGTTTTTTTAGGCTTCAGTCAAACTACAGTTAAATTTAAGGCAGTTCACATGAACGAAGGAGGTCCAAGAATTTTTGATGTGGGAAGCCATAGCAACATTTTTCATCTGTGATTAATAGGCTCTGTAATAATGGAATAACAATGGAGGGAAAAGGGAGCTATTCAGAATTATGTGCACAACTGCCACACAAAATCACGTGCCTTCTAGTTCAAATGATTTTAATGGACACTAACTAGTATTTGTATGCTTCATAATAAAAAAGGGATACTCAATGAGCTTTAATTAGCAGTAATCATTTTTGCAGATGGGCAGAGGTTCAGACTGTAGCGATTTGCAGTCTCTACCGTTGACCCACCTACTTCTATTACTTGCACCTACATCTAGTTTTAACTAGCTTGCAAGATGTTTACATAGACTTGCATCTTATTTCTGGTCACTATCAAAATATAGTTAATAATGCAAATTAAAGCTTAGTTCATGTATGACTCTTGGTGGGAAACTTCACCATATAATACATTGTCAGCAATGTGGCACGATCTGGGTGCCTTAATCTTTGCTATTTTCCCTTTTAAAATTTTTCTGAACGTCAGTACACAATGGGCAAGTATGGCAGCCAAATCAATCATGTATGTGAATAAGCTGACCGAACTTCAAAGACTTTTCATGTTTAATTTCTGTAAATATTTAAGAAAGTTTACTGCCAAAATTGTTCAGAGAAACAGTAAAATACCCCCTTAAACAAAATTTTAATTTCATCATCACAACTACGAACATCAGAAGCTGTATTAACCACATAATCTATCTGTCCACCCAAGATGTGTAACTGCAAATGCTGAATATGGCAAAGAACTCTGATTTAAAAGCATTTAGCGAGTAATTATTTTAATAAAAATGCAAACAAATAGATGTAAGGATCAGGTTGGGCAGAATTAAGGTGGCAAATTTCACCAAAACATACTTCAAATTATTTGCCTGCAAGTAGTGCCTTGTCTCTGCACAAAGGTTGTGTTGCCAAGGCAACAAGATGTAACGCAAAGAGCAAATGTCAGACCCTTTATGCATGGCTGTGGAGACAAAAGGGAAAAGCCCAAGAATAGAAAACTCCACAAAAGCGTTTTTGCTCATATAGTGAGTAAGTATAACAACACCGCGGCTTCGGCAAGCAGCACTTTCCACAATACAAGTATCGGTAGGTTATTAAACTATTTTAAACGCAAAACCCAGAAAACACTCAAGCCCCACAGGGTAGGATGGCTCGGTTCGCGTTTCTTCGCTAGGCATGAGCTCAGCCGTCGTAAACCCACTGCCCGTAACGGGTTTCACTGCTTTTTTCATTTGCTGCTCCTGTGCAGCAGCGGGTAGGCCCAAAGCAGGACCGAGGATCTCTGCAGACCCTCACGAGCAGCAGGCTCCTTTGAGGCGAGCACAACCCTGCACCCCGTCCGCTCGTGGCCCCACAAAACACGGCAGACGGGAACGCGGCGGCCCCGGCAGGGGGGCAGCGCCGGGCGAGCGGAGCCCGCCCAGCC